CAGACCATTGTCCGTTCGCAGCTTCTTGATCTTCTTCCCAGTCTGATTCTCCACCAATGTCTTCCACTGCTTGAACTTCGTGAAAGCCTCACTTTTCTGCTTCATCATGAAAATCCAAGTAAATCTCGAATAATCATCAATAATAGACAGAAAATACCTGCTGCCTCCAATGGATTCAACTCGTGAAGGACCCCAACAGTCGGAGTGGAGGTAATCTAGTATCCCCTTCGTCCGGTGGATACCCTTCTTGGGAAACTTGCTGCGATGTAGCTTCCCAAACACACAATGCTCACAGAATTCCAAATTCTGCACCTTGTGCCCGCAAAGAAGATCCCTCTTTGATAGAACTTGCATCCCTTGTTCACTCATATGCCCCAGTCTCATGTGCCAGAGAGTGGTCATATCCTCCTGTTGAACCTGAGACGATGCAACTGCAGCAGAACCAGACAACACAGACCCTTGTAATGCATACAAGGTCCCACGCTTCACGCCCTTCAGTACCTTCCTCGAACCCTTGCAGACATACACAACTCCACCTTTTCCTTTGAAGCTGAAGCCCTTGCTGTCGAGTAGACTCAAGGAGATCAGGTTCTTCGTCATTCGTGGAACATGCCTGACATCATTCACGGTACAGAATGAACCATCATGTGTCCGAACCTTTATGGACCCGATTCCAACAACCTTGCAGACAGCTCCATTAGCCATGACCACGTTACCACCATCTATCTGCTCGTAGGTTGTGAAGCAATCCCTGTTCGGAGACATATGGTATGAGGCTGCAGTATCCAGAAACCACACATCACCACGATGTGCCTTCTCATCTACAGCCAAGGCGAGATCCTCTTCAGAACTGTTGTCCACTTCTGCCACGGCAACTGAACCTTGTTTCTTCTGTTGCCCTCTTCTCTTGGGACAGTTGTACTTCCAATGCCCCACTTCCTTACAGTTGTGACAAGCATCACCTGGCTGTGGACCGGGACCCTTGGAATTCTTGCTCGAATTCCCTTTACCAGATTTCTTCTTTCCCTTTCCACCTGTAACAGCCAAACCCGATGCCTCACCACCTGTACCAGATCCGGACGCCTTATGTCTGATCTCTCTCGTATGAAGAGCAGACCTGACATCCTCCAACGACACGCTTTCTTTACCAGCAATAAAAGAATCAACAAAGTTCTCATATGAACTCGGCAAAGAAACCAGCAGGATTAGGGCAGCATCCTCGTCATCAACTTGAACATCTATATTACGCAGATCCAGCAAAATAGAGTTAAGCTGTTCGAGATGTTCCCTCAAAGGCGTACCTTCTTGCATCCTCAAGCTGAACAACCGTTGCTTGAGATGCAGCTTGTTGGTTAGAGACTTAGTCATGTACAGACTCTCTAGTTTCAACCACAAGCCCGCGGCAGTCTTCTCAGCAGCGACTTCAATGATGACGTCATCAGACAACGATAGCATGATGGTCGAGTGGGCCTTCTCCTCCAGGGTATTCCACTCATCTTCATCGACCGCTGCCTTCTTCTGTTTCGCAGACAGCGGCCCCCACAGCCCTTGCTGTTTCAATAAAGCCTGCATCTTGATCTGCCATATAGCGAAGCTGTTCTTCCCCGTGAACTTTTCGATCTTCATGTTCACCGACGTCATTCTTCTGAATCGAAAAACCCTAGCCTGATTTCCAGCCGCGGCTCTGATACCACTTGTTATAAACGCGCTGCTACGGATCGGGAAATCGCCGGAATCGACAAAGCAAGAATACGAAAGCGAGAATCGAAAGAACACAGACACACGATTTACGTGGTTCACTAACACGATGTGTGTTAGCTAGTCCACGGGCGAGAGAGAGCCAGTTTCACTATATTGAGGAGATTACAGATTACAGAGGAGTATGAGAAGTATTTATAGTACTTCTCCATGTGGGTCTAAACCTAATCCAATCTAGCAAAGGAAACGGTTACAGACCAGGCCCAGAACCCGAACCCAAATAACATTGAGCCCATACACCCGGTCAGCGAGACCCCCGCTTACCAGTCGTAGCGGCTGATAGTCCGATTCAAGTCATATCAACATGGTCCAAAAAGCAAACACCTCATATGGGGCAATGTCGCGCTTTTCAGAACGTGCTAACTGCATTACACATCTACATGGGAGATCAAGGATAGCAGGAAACATACATGTACAACTTGCTCCTTCCACTGCTACCTCGATGAGCATCAACCTCATATCCTTTAGAGTAACATTTGTATGCAACTCCCGAAATGGTCTTTCATCCGCTAGTAACATCTTCTTTAATCTAGAATCCGCTAGAAGCTTTAGGATTTGAAGATGCTGAGCCTCAATGTAATCATGGTTCTTCTTATAAACCTAAAAACAAAGAAAGAAAATTAGGATACTATATTAAGTAAAACTTCTAAAGAATATATAAATGAAGATTTATTAAGAGACTAACCGTGTCGATTGCACCAGTATATGATTAAAGCCACTTCTTGAAGGATGCATGAACGGCTTCAACCCGATTTGAGCTTGTATTACCCAAAAGTACGTACTTGGTTTGTATAACATGTTGCCCACGTGTACCTGTTTGGTAACCACTCAGCTGACAAGTACCTCCAAAGTCGTGTATATTGTACTCCCCAATTATGCCTGAAACGGTCTAAAGATCTATTCATGCCTTCCTCTGTGTCGGCATATACAACCCTTTTCCAAGATGCCATGATCAGATACAATGTCGGTTGGGCTGCATCTATCTGACAATGAGACATCCTCTCACCTCCGTTATACATCGTGCTCTCACATTTCTGTCTACATGCAAAAGGTATAGTATATGAGTCGATGATGGAACATTACCCCAACGGTCTCAACCAATCCTCCTGCTTTGTCACTGACAAACACATCTGGAGTGATAGAGCCAAGCAAATGTTGCAGATGCGTGAGAAGCCACTGGTACGACTCTATTGTCTCGTCATACACTAGCGCAGATGCAATGACAAAGTTCAATCCCACTGGTGTCATACCAACAATCTCAACCCATGGCAACTCATATTTGTTGGTCTTGTATGTTGTATCTATCACAATGACATGGTGTCAAGCTCGCAACATTAATAATGACTCAGGATGGGCTAGGAACAAGTGTGTAAGCACGTTACAGTCATCCACATACTGCACATAGTAACCCTTCTCCCGAGCATCTTGAAAAGTGTACTGTAAAGCTGTCCTCTGACCAAGCTCTTCTTTTCTTAGCTTATACAATGTGTTATAATTCTGTCTTCTGTTCACCTTTCCATGCTCCTCTTTTCTCTCGTTCACTGCCTTGTGGATATTCCTTGGGGCGACACCGGCTAATCTCAGATATCTGATGTATTGCTTATCATCTTCAGTCAAAACATTCCTCTTACTTGATCCATCCGGAAATAGCTCCATCCAATGATTGTGAAAACCCAAATTAGCACCAGGATTCTTTGTATTAGCCACTGCTAGTATCAACCAATATCCATCATCTGACCGCTCAATCTTGATTTGAAATTCACACCCCAACTTTCCAGAAGAAGTAAGAGGCCTCATTTCCTTAGCCGGATCAGAATCATGAGCATTCGATTTGTTCTTCCTACCATGAGTGCACTTTAAGTATCGTCGCCTACTATCTTCACTTGGATTTTTCTTATTTGATGCCTTCACCAAATAAAATCCCAAACTTTTGGCAATCTCAGTAGCTGCTGCATATGCAATCAAATCTGTATCGTATTTTACTTCATTGACGAATTCCAAGGTGTAATCTTTTCCATCAACTCCGTAATTATCAATATCCTATAATGTTAGATCTCATAATATAAGTAATACTCCACAATAATAGAAAATTTAACGAGTACATTTAATTTAACAATTATCACAAATAATTTAACATTCTTTAATTCTCCTATGCAAATCCAACATTTAACATGGCAAAATTTAACATTCTCTATTATTTACATACTATACATCTAATGTAAGAATCGTATTCTACATTGTACAGAAATACATTTTTCTACGATAAGAATTTTCAAATTTCATAAATACATCTAATGTAAGAATCATATTCTATATTTTTCTATTCTTTATTTGCATACTATACATCTAATCTTAAATTTGTATACAAAATCCTTCAACCACAAATAATTATGCTCAATTGCTTTTAAATCTAAAAATAATATAAACTAAAATTCAACAAATTATCTTATGGACTAAACTATAAATCATAACAAAAGAATAGAAACATTTGATATAAACTAAAAAAACCCCAAAATCCATCAACCGAAGACAAATTTCGGTTCCACTATTGCTTAACCGAAGATAAAAATTTTTCCACCATGGCTTAACCGAAGACGAATTTTGGTTCCGCCGTAGATTAACCGAAACCAATTTTTGGTTGAACCATGGACCAACCGAAAATTACCTTCGGTCAAGGTTTTTTGGGTTTTTTTTTTAAATCGAGATTTTTACCTCGTCGGAGTCGCTACTAATTGTTCGGGCGTATTCTCGACGCTCACGGATTAAGAATGTCGACGGTGAATTCGAGAGTGTGGCAGAATGAGTGTTTTTTGTTTTCTAAGTGAAGGTGGTGTTTGTTTGCTAAAAAAAAAGGTAAAGATGCCAAAAGGTTAAAAGTGTAACTTTGTTGTTTTTTAGAACGATCATTACTAATTTTTAAAACGACCTTTATCAACTCCCTTCCTAATCCTATCTGAGAAAAAAAATCCAACTACTATGAATTTCAAAGAAATTCATTATTACCTTGAAAAATATCATGGCCACTATTATCTTAGGCCGTTAGATGCAAGCAGTGTCCGGAAAACATCTCCATCCAACGTGCCGAATCTAAAGCGACATAGATTCAGGAACCACACGTAATCTCCTCTCAACAACATTTCTCCCCTCTCTTCCTCCAAACAAATCCCATCTCCTTTCGCTATTTTTGAAGATTTTAATAATAATACTCGAAAATGCCAGAAATCCCTGTCGTAGTTTTCTAAATTTCTGTGAGTTTTCCCCTAAAAAGAAAGCACGAGTCTCTCTATCTAGCTAGCTCTGTGCCTCCCTCCGCCGCACCATAAATAAAAGCACGCCTGCCATCTTTCTCTTCTCTCCTAGCCCCATCTCTTCTTCCTCCTTCAGTAAAGAATCGCAAAATTGGGCCAGCAATCTCCGACCAAATCTCTCCGCGGCCGGTGCTTCTGGTTACCGAATGCAACAATTGTAATGGAGTTGAACCCACCACCTAATCCATTAAACCCACCACTTCTATAAAGTACAAACCCTATCCCTCCCTCTTCGATTGCGGGGTTAAAACAAAAACCCAACAAAAAAGAGAAGCTTCCCGACTTTGGGAAACGTTTTTCTCTCGACCTTGGAAATGTCAGTTATGGAAATGCCCCACCACCTCGATCTAGAACAGGGGACAGGCCTCCACCACCTCCGGCGCGGCAGCTCAATTGCCGGGAGCGACGACCTCAGCTGTTTCTCCGACGCGGAGGACGGCGGTTCAACCTACTCCCAGTTCTACTCCACCACCGCCGGCTCCAACTATGGCGATTACGGCTTCGCTTGCGGCTCCGACGGCGAAGGTTTCGTTTCGGATTCCAGGCGGGTGTCTTGTGTGTCGGAGCAGTCGGTGGCGGTGGAGATTGGGAGCGGGGCGGCGGCGGAGGGAAAGGTGCATTATGTGGACGAGAGTAAAGCGGAGGTAGACTGCCGGATTTGCCATCTGGGTCTGGAGAGCAACAGCCAGGAATCGGGAATTCCGATTGAGTTAGGTTGCTCATGCAAAGCCGATTTGGCCGCCGCCCACAAGCACTGCGCCGAAACTTGGTTCAAGATTAAGGGCAACAAGTAAGTCATTTTCAGAAATTCCTTAATTATTAGTTAATTAATTATGGTGTCTGACAGTCGCATAATCTATTTACTTAGGCGTTGATCTTTAAATTTGTCCTGTTGTGGTGGAAATAAAATTGTCAATTATTTAGCACTATGGAAGATTCCTTGCGCAGCGCAGCGCTCCGCTCATTGAATGGCAGATTTGCTCTGATCATCATCTGGGTCGGGAAATGAAATGCTCTGTTTTGCTTTCTTAAACTTGTGGGCGAATTCTGGGAATGTGGAACTGGTGCTGGGGTAAAGTTGAGAAAGATTGTGACTAAAACAAGTTTGGGGTGAAAATGAAATGGGAGTAAAGAAGGACGTGTAAAGCAAAAGAAAGAGCATTATAATGGAGATCATATGCACACTAATTCGTTGAATGAGATAGACTATCACGTACCATTGCGTCTATCTCCTCCAGCATGATGTATAGCTTAATTCATATGCTGATACTCTATTTTGCCTAGAATATGATCGTATGCAACACTTGGACCGACAAGTTCTTGCTGAAATGATTTGTGTGCTTTTTCTTTTAATATGCCTTTGGCCACATTTTGCGGGGTTGTTTGGGAATCTTAGCAGTGCGCCTTCATATAATGATTCTCCTTTACCTGACTCTTTTGTGAAAGTGGAGAAATTGATTGAATCGACCCCTCTTTCACTGACGAGTGCATTTCCCTTTTATTTTGCCTCCCTCCCTTTCCAGTTTTTCCATCAACTTTCCTTCAATTAATGAAACTTTACACATATTAGATATTCCGGATTTGTTCTGCACATCCGACATCTTCAATGATAAGCCACAATTTGACTTATTTCGTGCAATCCACGGCAGCAGAAAAGGAGAAAGGGTTGAATTTGAGCATCTTCTTAATCATAATGTCGGAACTGCGCTGTAGTAACTCTGGGATGGTGATTTCATTTCTCAGGACATGCGAGATTTGCAACTCGGTGGCCAAGAACGTCGTGGGAATAACGGAGGCCGAGTCTGTAGTTGTTGATCACTCGACCGAGTCGAACGCCAACAATTCGTCAGTAACAGCGGTGGCTGCAACATCGTCGGCTCAGCATTCGGATACGAGTCGCAACTTTTGGCAGGGGCATAGGTTCCTCAACTTCCTGCTTGCTTGTATGGTGTTTGCATTTGTCATCTCCTGGCTTTTTCACTTCAATGTGCCATCTTCGTAGATACAAGGAAATAGAAGATGGAGAGGATTTGTTGCGCAGCAGAGATTCTGCTGCTATGCGAGGTGGTTCAGCAAGCTCTATTAGTCAGTGAATTGTATACCAATGTATCACCAGGGTTCACAGATATTATTATTAATTATATTATATAAATGAAGAGAAAAGAAGAAAGACTTGATCTTTACTTTTGCATTCGAATCCTTATGGACATTATTAAATGAACAGGTTATGGCTCTGCAAAGATACGAAATTGGTTCTAGAACAGGGAAGGGTACTGATTCTGAGGGCTCTGCAAGCAAGTGAATTCTTTGTCTAGAAATTTGTGCAGAGACTGTCACTGAGAATCATACCCTATGCATTTATTTTCAAAAAGAGAAACAAGAAGCAGAAGGTGACTCTTCATTCTCCAACCGAGCGCTACAGATCACCCGGTGCTGATCCTACAACTTTCAGCTTTGTGAGTTCCTTCACACAAAAGGATATTGAGCACCATAACCAAATTGTTTCACTTTTCAGTGTCTAAACGTTCAAAAATCCTAATATATGTGTTCATCCGATATAGAAAATAGCTAGAAAGCGCGTGCATGGTTTGTGCGCTCAGAAATCATGCTTTAAGGCCAGATGAAAAACAAGTAGTAGTACAGAATTATACCAAATTGCCACCATATGGGCAATGGCGGATGCAGCATTTTAAAATACCTCTGTCCTCTTTTCATAACTTAAATATATAAGTATCTAAATAAAAATTATTTAATAAAAAATAATTAAAATTAATTATATCAAAATAATTCATTTATAGATTAAAAATAACCGACTATACAATCATAGTTTTCAGAAACAACCACGAATGGATTTTATATTGTGAAAGAAACACAAAACTATTCGTTGTCTACACTATTAAATAAGTCTCTTTCAGTGTATCTCGCTAAACAAGCATTAGCAAACTGGTTCCCAAATCGACTTGGAAACTTGTTCTTAATATAACACAAAGCTGAAAATGCTCTTTTTACTCTTGTAGTTGTAATTGGTAGAATCAAAACTAGTGAAATTGTCATTGTCGCTAGACAATTTCAGTGTTGTAGGGGAAAAGATCGAATAGGTATAAGAAAAAAAGTGATCTGATTAGATATTTGTTGCAATTGGAATTTTGTCTATAGTATAATAATTTAATTTTATGTCAATTTTTGAACAAACAATGAGTTGTGTTGTAAATTACTCTAATACTACCTATAGATGTTGTGTTCCATAACCAATATAAATATATATGACGTATTTTTCTTCCTCCGAAATTTATCCCTGTCCCGAGACAAGGTCCAAAGGCCTGCCTCCGCCACTGCATATGGGCAACCCTATTGTTTTGTCTCCCCACGAACTGTACTTTGACACCTAGATATTCTTGCCCGAGTGCCTGGATCTCACGATAGAGGGCACCACCTTGAGCATTAGTCATGCACCGCGCGTTCAACCTATCAATAATCTCTTTAGCATCCTCTCATATCCACACCGAGCAGAGCCCCTTCGCCACACACCAATGGAATGCTTCCCGAAGAGCTATCAACTCTACCATAGCCGGTTCATAAATCCCTTCCAAGTACCAACCTTAACCATCACCGTCGCACCAGACTCATCCTGAATAGCTAAGCCAAAAGCCGCATGAGACTCCCGACATAAAGCCTCATCAAAAGCACAGACGAACCCCGTACCCGACCCTATAAGTGGCGCGGACATGGATCCACCCTGACCGACTGGCACCCTAGGAACACCCCGCGTGTTGGCCCCACACCATTCAAGGATTTGATGTTCATCTTTCGTTGAAGGACAAGTAAATTAACTTGTTTGTAGTCAAACACCATCCAATTTCGGGCCTTCCAAATTCGCCATAGTATGCCCACAAGCTTGATACTCTTCTCCGGTGAAGAGATAAGCCCCAGCACCCGCCGCAAGAAAATGACTAAATTTGAAGTATCCACCTCGTTTCTCAGATGCAGAAGACCCACTGCCCCCCATAACGGCAGGGCCACCGGACATTGAAGGAAGAGGTGTTCCATCGTTTCCAAATCCGCCCAACAAGCAGGGCAACAACCCAACACCTCCACCTCTTTTTCCAACAAGGCCTCCGTCATTAGCAGAATATGACTCAAGATTTGCGAAAGAAAAAACCGTAACTTAGGCTGAATCGGTAGGTCCCATATAACCTTCCAGAAATTGCGATCCATCCAACTAGCCTCTTGTTTCCAACTGTCGAAGATACTATTCTGGTTAAAAGTTTTTTTTTGTCGAAAAGATAGCTTGCATTAAACAAGAACACAAAGTTACAAGGCCTGTGACCTAAGCCACCCACAAAAATCAAACCCATTACAACCCGCAGGAAACAAAGACAGGGCCTTCTTAGCCACCATATGGGCTACCCTATTGTTCTGTCTACCCACAAATTTCACCCTAAATCCTGGGGACATCAAAAGAAGCTGGCGAATTTCCTCAAACAGAGCACCACCAGTAGCAGCACGAACATCCCTAGCGTTAACCTTGTCGATCACAATCTTGGCATCCCCCTCAAACGTAACAGCCTCCAAGCCACGATGTTGACACCACCGCATCGCATCCCGCAACGTTGACAGTTCCACAAGCATCGGATCTTGCAGACCGGTAAACATCAGCCCTTGCGCCGCAAACACCGCTCCCCTGCCTCTCTTAAGACCACCCCACCAGCCGCATGGGACCCATCACGGACTGCCCCATCAAAGGAGCATACCACACCGTCCACAGAACCAGCAGCCACCGTAGGCTGATTAGTACCAAGGCCCCCCGAAGGCTCACCCACACCATTCCCATCCCCCTGGGGAAGTTGCTCCCATTCCGACACTTGATGTAGAAACTCCTGTCGGAGAATACTCGGGAGAATCTGTTGTCCCTCAAAGACCACAGAGTTCCTCCCCTTCCATATCCTCCACAGTAAACACATCAAACGCACAACACGCATAGGTGACCCGTCTCTCCCCAAAAATCGCCTAAAAAATATGTTAAAACTTCCCACCGGCAAAACCTCTAGCTCAGCAGCCAACCCTGCGGCTTCTCACAATCCTCGAGCCACCGGACACTACAGAAAGAGATATTCGTGGACTCCTCCAGCGCCCAACACACTGGACACCTCGCAAGGACCTCCACCTCTTACTCACGCAATGCCTCCATCGTTGGTAGGATCCGCCGTAAAAGCTCCCACGCAAAAAACTTGAGCTTCGGCTGCACTGGCATACCCCAAACCTTAATCCAAAGCATTCGATCCAGTGTGCTACATTCCGCTTTACCTCCCCACCCACGACGAGACTTACCCTTTGCTAACCTGTACCCAGACTTAACCGTATAAACCCCCGAAGGGTCCTCCCTCCAAACCAATCTGTCCGGTAATGCCATCCGCGGTAACGGGATTTGAAGAATGCCTCGAATCGTCTCTTGATCAAATGCCGAATTCAAACAATCCATACACCAGTTTCCTGATTCCGGATTGATCAGCTCCGACACCATCTCAGTACCCGCCAACGGCGCCCCCATCTGCAAACCAGGTGTTGAAGGATGGATTAAAGGAATCCAACCTCCTGACATTACTGGTATCTGGTTAAAAGCTTTTCATTCGATGAGTCATGATTTTTTGAATTTAGTATGCTTTTTTCTATGAATTTAAATCAAAAGAAACTAATTTGAGCTGGTCTTCTTGATCCACATGTCAATCTACTTAAAAAAAAATTATATAATTCACTCAATCTACTAGTTGGGGGTACACCATAAGACAAGCCACGAAAGAGAAAATCATACGAATAGATAGACAAATATTGACTGATCCTCAAATGTCAACAAGAGCTCAAAACAAACCAAGAAATGAGGGTTACATACAAGAAGGTATACAAAAATTATGCAGCAAGGAGTGGAAAGAAAACAGAAGGGAAAGAAGCAACTCTATACATCAATCTTTTTTTCTTCCTTTCTTCTAATATATAATCTCAATTTTTGTTCCTTTTGGCTTCCAAGTTGGTGCCATCTTTCAAAGCTTCCTGAGCATCACCCTCCATTCCAAGGCTGAAGAGGCATGCTGCTTGAAGGTAAGAAGCAATGTGCCACTCAGGGGACACAACTTGACCTTGCATGGCATCTCCAAGCCCTTCTTGTGCCATATCATTCATCAAGTACGACAGGCACCGCCTAGCATACACCGTCGGTGATACCATGGTTCCTCCATCGATGAACTGAAATGTTAAGTGAATTTTAGTTAGCCAAAAAATTGAAGGGAGATTCAATTCGGTTTGTATGGACACAATCATTAAGCCACTGATAACTAAACAGCACACTTAATTACCTGTGAGTAGTAATCAATGGCAGTAGGGAAATCCTTTGCTCGGAAGGCAATGTCTCCATGTTTCTTGGAGTTCAAGGTATCTTGCATTTGATTTGTCCACATCTGGAAAGACAGCTGCAAGAAAGAAAATAAAAGTCATGTTAAATCAGTCTCGAATTTCAATTCAAGCAACTGCAAGAACAAAATTACAAACCTCATTGGCAATTCCTTCATCATCCTTGTACCCAACTTTCTCCAGCAGTTCATGTAGAGCAGTAAGATCTATTCGCAAGCAGGCCTCGCCAAATGGGGTTAGCGACAGCGGCTGGTTACTTGCTGATGCTACTGCTTCATGTGGGATCCCCATAAGCACATATGAAGGAACCTGTCAAAGAAAGAGCCCTCAAATCTTTTCAGTTAAGAAACCAGAATGGATGCCCCGAGCATATATATCTAAATCTACCTCAGTTTCTTTCTGAAGTGGAATCAGAGAAGCCACAAGTGTCTTGGCATTTGGCCTCTCTCGAGCTTCAAGCTGTAAACAACGAGAAGCCAATCTCACCAACTCAGTACCGTCGTCCTTTGAGAAATGATCTTCCAGTGCTGAATCCATCAACATCAGGTAGTTCTTGCCGCGAATCAAGTCAAGGGCCTGAAGAAGAACAAAGGAGTAACAGAAAAGTGGTCAATGGAAACCATAAGATAAACAAAGACCAAGTAGAAAGGAAGAGAGCATACATGGCTGGGTGGAATATGTTTGCCACTAAGTAGATCCAACAGAAGTGTACCAAAACTGTAGACTACACTCTCTGGAGTCACTCTGCCTGCAAAGAAGTTTGGTGATTGATTATGAGCCGAGTACCTTATATTAAGAGTTGGCCTAGTGGTGGGAGATCATAGTAACCACCACACTTTGTGTTCAAACTTCGGTTCAATAATCATCAATAAAAATGAACTCGGATCAGCTGACTTCATCAGTAACGATTACCAGTTATCAAGTACTCAGGAGGGGTGAATGCGAGATTAGTGATGTAACTCTTGCCATCTCTCCTGTTCTTCATCATCCCAAAGCAAGATAGCCTTGGATTCCCATCCTTATCAAATAAGACCCTATAGGCATTGAGATCATGGTACAAACCCCTTCCCTTGCTGCTGCAGTACTCCCAAGCTTGGGCTAGATACAGAGCTACTCTCAACCTCATTGCCCATTGAGCACTTCTACTATGCTATATAGTATTGGTGCTTTAATGTACAACTTGAAGTTGTACCATAACATTAAATGTATAAGTTTAGGTTGTACCATAAAGGAATTTGTATCATTATGTTATGGTACAACTTTACAACTTGAAGTTGTACCATCACATAAAGGTACAAGTTCAAGTTGTACCATAAAAGAATTTGTACAAAAAGTATAGGTACAATCTGAAGTTGTACCATAACGTAAATGTACAATTTCAAGTTGTACCATAAAGACAAAAACCTATAGCACCAATACTATATAGCATTGTAAAATTCCTCATTGCCCATTTCATAGGCCGAGTCTCCCCTATAACACCCCAACCTCCAAGACTAATCAGAACTCAATTGCTTGCAGTTCCTCAGAACAAAAAGAACGAACTTAACAAAGATGAAGCTCACAGTGAAAGAGATGCTTGGCGAGCGTTTCATTGGGCATAAACTCAGCAACCAGCAGTCTCTCTTCACCTTCACAGCACTATCCAATAAGATTCGCCAGCCGGTCGCTTCTCAGATTCCCCACCGCCTTCGCTTCCTCCTGAACATTGACTTTTGTTTAGGACATTCTTAATTCAATAATATAAATAAATAAAAAACATTAGAGTCAAAGCAAAGCCCAAAATTAGAAAAGAGTGAAACAATGAACTGACAACGAACTGGCGAGAATCGGGCCAATCCATTCTATTGAAGCGCTTGATAGCAATCCACCGGTCGGCATCCAATTTCCCTTTGTAAACCATATTTGGATCCTTCTCGCCGTGCTCCGACACTATGTTGTCGGAAGAAAACCCGCCGGTGGCGGATTTCAACTCCTCCAAGCTGAACTCCTTAAAGCTCGGCCATGGGCTCCCGTCATTTTTGACCCCGTCCTCTACATTTAAAGAACAAAAAAGGAAATTGAGTTTACAAAGATCACTGGAACCCAATTGGCAACAATGTGAGCAAAGAAGGAAAGTCTCGATCTTTTTGTTCTACCGAGATCGGAGGACTCGAGGACGGAAGGCTTATGGTGAGAGTGGTAACAGCAGAGAGTTAACTTGGAGCACCGGCCACCCATTTTGATCGATATAATTCGGAAGCAGCAAACCTCTGGAAAGAAGAACTGGCGCTCTGCCTAAGCCTGATCCAAAGCTGGGAAAGGAAGGAGAGGGAAACGACTATTTTCTTTGCTCCCTTCACCTTTATTTGTTTCCAGCTTTTCTCCAATGTGTGCAAATGGCTCATCATTGCCTTATTGCTTTCCTGTCTGTGGGTCTGTATTAACTCTACCACCTCTACCAGAAATTTTCTTTCTTTCCAAAGATTGGATTATGCACTTCAATATATGCGTGTTTGTAAGATATGATTAATATGTTTCCCTGCTAGACTTTTATATTTAACTTTGCGGTTAATTTTGATAATTCGGACGCGGCAGAGGAGGTGGAAAGTATCGATCATATGGGAGAGAAAAGTTTTCAATTTTCGTGACCGTTGTCCATTATGTCTATGGACTATGTGGCAGTAGAAGTCAAATGGCAGAGGACCAGAAGTTAGGTGATAACACCTTTTTTTTTACATCATGCTAATATTAATTTGAATGGAATATTTTCTTTTGTTAATTTTTTTATTTCAATAGTTTCATAAAAAAAATATATAAGGGTAGGGGGTTTATCACAATTAGAAAGAAGGGCACGATTGTCATTATTAAGAATTAGAGGTACATGCATGTGGACCTATTTGTAAATTTGAAAAAATTTAGGTATAAAAATATAATATATAAAATTTTTGTGTCATTTGTATCCTGATATTTTTGTTGACTATTAGAAATAACGGTTGACTGGATTAAGGTCAAAGCATTGTTTATTTTTGTTGATGTGGATGCCACGTAGTTGCCACGTCTTTAACATGTCATTTTTTAATTTAAAATTAAGTTATAAATTATATTAAAAAACATACAAAATTAGAATAAAATTAGTTAAGTGGATTTTTGAATTACTTACGAAAATTATTTAAACAAAAAGAAAATGGGTAAATGTCACATTTGGTCACTAGGATTACTAAATCGTGTTATGTTTAGTCACTAGAAAAAATTAATATCAATTTTGGTCACTTGAATTACTGAAACATGTCACATTTAGTCACTCTCCCGTTAGCTTCCGTCCAACTCCGGTCACTCGAATTACTTTTTTTTTATGAATGTCAATGGAGTTGGACGGAAACTAACGGGAGAGTGACTAAATGTGACATGTTTCAGTAATTCGAGTGACCAAAATTGATATTAATTTTTCTAGTGACTAATCATGACATGATTTAGTAATCTCAGTAACCAAATGTGGCATTTACCCAAACGAAAACATATATGTCTTCTCCCCCGCCGGTACTATTCGGCCTCCGCCAGCTTTGTCTCTCCAATCCGTAGAACACTGTCACCAACCACCTTCCCTCCACCTTCATCACTCCCATTTCTCCAGAACCACAGCTTCGGGTAGCCATCTCCTCTTCGCCGATGTGAGAGTGTCGCGATTCTCAATGACGGATGGATCTAAGGGAGGGAAATTGATGGATATAAGGGAAAAGGGTGATCGATGTGAGATTTTTGGCTTGTCGCGATTCCCTCCGACGATGCGCTGAAGCTCCACCATTTTTTCCAAGAACCCTAATTTTGGCAAAATCAGAATTTGTTCGATTCTACTAAAAATCGAAGATTGAAATCGAGAGTAAAGCATAGTGCTACGTTCTGGAGTGGGAGGAGGGTGTTAACGGACATGGATTTTGTTAAATCGAGAATAAAACGAAAGAGACACGAGATTTTACGTGGTATCCCTGACGATTTGTCAGGACTAATCCACGGGAGAGATCAGCCTCTCCAACTCTGATATTATTACTTACTGCAAACTTGTACAATGGCCGTTTGGCCTACATCAACATTATATAGCTTTGGTTCTACTTGCCCTAGCTGTACACGAACAGGAGAAGAAGAAATCCTTGCCGTGCACGTACTGGCAACATTTGTTGCTTCGGGCTGGATTGACAACTTGGGCTGCTGCTGCCCCTCTCGGTTGGACTGGATCACGGGCTTGGGCCGCTGTTCCTCTCGTCCCAATACGCCCCCGCAAGCTGGACGGTGAAGATCACGAACGTGCAGCTTGGAGAGCAAAAACCGAAAACGATCGGCACCCAGCCCTTTGGTGAAAAGGTCATCAATCTGATGCTCGGTGCTAACCTTCAGGGGAAGAATATCACCAGAGACAAACCGTTCACGCACGAAATAGCAATCCATCTCGACATGCTTCGTGCGTTCATGGAAAACCGGGTTGGCAGCAATGTGTAATGCAGCCTGGTTATCGCAGTAAAGGCGAGTAGGAGTTGACTGGGGGACGCCCAACTCTTGAAGCAACCAACGAAGCCAAATGAGTTCACTCACTGTACTAGCCATGGAACGATACTCCGCCTCTGCAGACGATCGTGCAACAACCTTCTGACGCGTGGTCCGCCAAGAGATAGGTGCGGATCGAAGCGAGATATAGAAACCTGTAGTAGACCGACGAGTGGACTGGCAGCCACCCCAATCAGCATCACAGTGTGCAATAAGCTCAAGCGAATTCTTGGCAGGGAAATAGAGACCCTGACCAGGAGAGGTTTTTAAATACCGAAGGATACGCATAGTAGCATCCATGTGTGCTTGAGTAGGAGCATGAACGAAGCGACTAAGTATATTAACCCCATAGGCAATATCTGGTCGCGACACAGTGAGATAAAGTAATCGCCCAACAAGACGGCGATAAGACGATCCATCCACGAGCTGAGCCGAAGTAGGCTTGGTGAGCTGGTGGTTTTGTTCAACCGGGAAGGCACTAGGGCGAGAACCAAGAACCCCCGCTTCTGTGAGGATATCCATGACGTACTTCCGTTGACTGACGATGAGTCCCGCAGGAGTACGGGCCACTTCAAGCCCTAAGAAGTAACGTAGAACTCCAAGGTCTTTGATGCTGAATTTCTGATCAAGAAACCTTTTGACATGATTGATAAAATCCATATCATTTCCAGCAAGTATGACGTCATCGACGTAGATAAGAGCCGCAACAAACGTAGAGCCCTTCTTATAAATGAAGAGCGAATGATCTGCGGGTGAGGCACGAAAACCGAGATCACCAAGAGAGACAGTGAATTTTTGGTACCAATTCCTGGATGCCTGACGTAGCCCATAAATTGACTTTTGCAAGCGACAAACACGGGAATCACCATCTACGGCAAAGCCAGGTGGGACTTTCATATAAACTTCCTCCGACAGATCACCATGGAGAAAAGCATTGTTGACGTCGAGCTGATGTAAATACCAACCCTGACTAACCGCCACTGCTAACAGACAACGAACCGTGACCAGCTTAGCTACTGGTGCAAATGTATCATGAAAGTCCACGCCCTCAATTTGCGTGTAACCCTTTGCGACCAACCGCGCCTTATATCGCTCAACAGATCCATCGGGATAATATTTGACTTTAAAAACCCATTTTGATTCAATGCAACGCTTACCTGGAGGAAGGTTCTCAAGCCGCCAAGTGCCATTGGCCATAAGTGCAGAAATCTCTTTGGCCATAGCTTCCCGCCAGCATGCATGTTGCATGGCCTCCTTGAACGTACGAGGTTCTGGGATGCGATCAATCTTGGCTAGAAAAGCCTTATATTCTGGACTAACTCGTTCATAGGAGACGTGATGAGAGATGGGGTAGCGGACATGGGATGCCGAGGTCAAATCGGTCTCGTAATCAGCGAGATGACTGGGTGGGTGTTTACTGCGCAACCCTCGTCCCAATGCAGGTTCGCTAGGCGCGGCAGGAACAGGAGTGGGACTTTGAGCAGTGAGAATGCCAGGGCTCGGGCAAGATGGAGTAACCTCACGTGGCGCTGGAAGTGGAGATGTATCACCAGGTGGAGAATCTTGCACCGAGGGACTGCTAACAAGTGCTGGGGAGGCAGGTGTCGCACCATGATCGCCCAAAACTTGTGGAGATTGGGAAACCAGTGGAGTAGAAAAGTCATCTCCTGAAGCTTCATGATTATTACATAATTCCATAGTCACCGATTGAGGAAGCCAATGGAACTCACGTGGATCTTGCGCATGGAATGGGAAGTAGTCCTCATGGAAAACCACATCACGAGAAACCTGTATCTTCCGTGAAAGTAAATCATAAAACCGGTATCCTTTCTGAGTTGCTGCGTATCCCAAGAAAACACCAGCACGCCCCCGGTCAGCAAATTTCGTGAGTCCCCCATGTGTATCTTTGGAGTACAGAAGACATCCAAATACCCGCAAGTGCGAGTAAGCTGCCGGCTTTTCAAACAAAATTTCATAGGGGGTTTTACCTGTTGCTGACGTAGGGATACGATTAATCAAATAAACTGCAGTGAGTATACACTCTCCCCAAAAACGGACTGGGAGACCTGCATGAAATCGAAGTGCACGAGCGGTCTCCAGGATATGACGATGTTTGCGTTCAACAACGCCATTTTGTTGTGGAGTATCTGTGCAACTTGTTTGAAGTACTATTCCAGATCCTTCGTAGTATTCTCTGAGTGACGAAGTTGCAAATTCCAAGCCATTATCTGCCTGAATACGACGAACTTTTAGACTGAACTGTGTTTGCACCATCTCACAAAACATAGTGATGTAACTAGCAACTTCTGACTTGAACTTCAAAAGATATACCCAAACACCACGACTGAAATCATCGACAATGGTTAAGAAATAATGAGCTCCACTAGTGGAAGCCGTTTGATAACCACCCCATATGTCTACATGTATCAGCTCGAAACAACACGTAGTCTTAATAGAACTGTGTGGAAAAGGAGTACGACTCTGCTTAGCGCGAAAACAAGAGTGACATGGATGTTTATTCTTGACTGCCGAAAAAGAGATAACAGAACTAAGTTGAGATAGCTTTTCCGAAGATAGATGTCCCAGCCGCGAATGCCACATCGACTCAGGGAGTTTGTGTCGACCATCTGCAGCAAGAGCCAACCGTTCTTGTTCACCAAACATCTTCAAGAAATAAAGTCCATCACGGAGAATCCCCCTCC